TTCTTTGTCTTCATTGGAGTAGAACTTGAGCACCGTGTGTCTGGGTGAAGATCTCTTTGGATCATGTCTGTTGGGAGTTCTCTGTCCATCCTGTATGCGGGGTGGATTCGTGTTCCAAGTGTTTTGGAAGTTTTCCTGTATAATTTCATCGAGCACTGCTTGCATCCCAGATTCTCTTTCTACTCCCTCGGGGAGGTCGATGATCCGAATATTCAATTTTCTAAGGTAATCCTTCATCTCTTGCATCATTTTATTAGTTTTGCTGAGGTTTGTCTCCAGCTGTTTAATTCGCTGGGCACTTTCATTTTGTGTGTCTTCTGTTTCAGAGATCCTTTCCTCTGCCGCATTTATTCTGTTGATGAGGCTTTCAATCTTATTATCTTGGGCATCCAGTTTGGTTTTGATTTGTTGTATTTCGGTGATTATGCGGTTCTGGAGGTCTTCCAGCTTTGTGTCCACGTCTCTGAGAGATTTTAGCATTATTTTCATCAATTCCTTTGTTGGTAACACTTCCATGTCTTCATCTCGTATCGTCGATATTGATAATGGCTTTTGGCCCTTGTTTGGTGGGGTGCTGGCTCTTTCATCTGGAGCACAACTCTTTCTGGTGGTTTTTCCCATTGCGTTGGTGTATTCTGGTGAGGCAAATGGACCCGTGTGTTGAGGGGCTGTCAGGTGCTTTCCTGTAGAGATTGGAGCCTGTAGGCGTGGTGTTGCCGGGCGTGGTAATTTTCAAGGCACCGTTGGTGCGTTCTCAGGGCCCGGGGCTGTAGAGCACCACCTTGGGGGCCCAGTGGATTCCAGGCACACTCTGGGCACCTCTTCTACAGGTGTGACACCCCAGGGCGTGGCGGGATGGAGGCGCTCTCTGGGTGTGCTCCCTTCACGGGAATCCGCAGGGCGTAGAAGGTTTTATGTGCTTTCTCCCTGCGTTCTCCGTGTCAGGGACTGCAGGGTTTTTCAGAGCCCACCTGGTGCGTCTCCCACACACGGGACTGTGGGTGAGGCACTTTCCAGGCGTGGCTCTTATGCAGTGAATCCACCACTCGTGGTGTGTGGGTGATCAGAGCCCCTGCTCCCGTGTGGCTCCCCCACACAGGCCCTTAGCGGAGGAGTGGCCCAGGCGCCCTGTTATAATGACTTCACGGCGGCAGGTTCGCACCGTGTCAGTTTGGTGCAGGAGATCTCCTGACACCTGACACCTGTGCTACGGAGGTGCTGCTGCTGCAGGCGGGGCGCCCAGCCCGCTCGGTGCGGCGTTCAGAGTCCTGGTGGTTTCAAGCACTCACCAGGCAGGATGTGGGGGACTCCAGACCCTCGCCAGCTACCTCTGCGCACCGAGCCGCACTGGTCCCCTCAGCGCAGGAACATCCGATGCGCCTTCCCGGGGCCCCCTCAGCCACCAACACAACACCACTGTGCGTAGTTCCACACAGACCCAACAGTTTCGGCCGTCTGCTCCGCGTTCTGAGGCTGGAGCCTCAGCAGGGGGCAAGAAATGCGGAGGCTGCCACGTCAACCCCCAGCTCACCAAACGTCCGGCCGCTGCAGTCTGCCTCCACCGCTGCCGAAGGCCTCCCGCCGGTGACGATCCCCCTGATCTCCCCGCCTCCGAGCTGGCCGCGTCTCCCGTCAGGCCGTTTTCAAAAGTGACTCAGCAGGTCTGGAGTGGGATGTCGGTTTCTCTGCCTTTGCCCTGCTCCGTTCTCGTTGTTCTTCCGAGTTGTGTGGATCTTTTTGGCTCCACACTGTCCCAGGGAGCTTCATGGACCTCTCCCTGCGGTTCCCTGCTGTTCCTCTTTGCTGCTTCTGTAGCGTTCTATCCCTCTCTCACTAGACGCTCCCTCACAGCCTTCCTCCTACATCGGCCATCTTCGCTCTCCTCCTGTTCGGAGTTTTTAATTCAGTTACTCTGGGGTGGAACCTGGGGTTCCACTTCTAGTAATTTCTCAGGTGTTTCTGATGCTACTGTCCCAGGGATACTCGTTGAAAATCTCTGCTCCCAAAAGAATAATATGTTCTCTCTGATATAGGCAACCTTCATGCAAAATACAAGAGGAAGAGATATATAGGTAGACACGTAGATACATATGTGTATCTAGAGGAACTGTGTAATGTTGGTCAGTGTACCGTGAAGTGGAGATACAGCGCAGGGTGCATCTCTACTTCGGAATAAAAGATGGACTCCCAATGAACTGTTAAGTATATATCTTTTTTTTGGTAAAGATTTGCTTTATTTCTATTGGAAAGGCGGATCTGGAGAGAGAAGGAGAGACAGAGAAAGGTCTTCCATTCACTGGTTCACTCCCCAAATAGCTGCAATGGCCAAAGCTGAGCCAATCTGAAGCCAGGAGCCAAGAGCTTCTTCCACATCTCCCACATGGATGCAGGGTCCCAAGACTTTAGGCCTGTCCTCCACTGCTTTCCCAGGCTACAAGCAGGGAGCTGGATGGGAAGTAGAGCAGCCAGGATACGAACCTGTGCCCCTGTGGAATTCCAGTGTGTGCAAGGCGAGGATTCTGTGACTAGGCGACTATGTTGGGCCCTGAGTGTATCTTGACAATATGATGCCGGATTTTCTACCATTGTCTGTACTTATAATGTCCTGATATACTTAGATAGAAGATTAATGGACTTGTGACTGTTGAAGAACTGGAACCATTGTTATAGGGGAGAACAGTGAGGGGTGGTAGAATGGAGGGAGAAAGTGGAAGAGGAACTCCCTGAGCTTAAGGAATTGTGTCATGAAAAAAAAAAATTAAAGGAAAAGAAAACCGCTGCTCTCAGAGAGGCTAGCCTTCTCGTTAGTGATGCAGCAAAAGCTTGGTTGATAATAACTGTCTCACAAACTCTTTGTGTTTCATTGCTATTTTTCAATACTTGTGAGCAAGACACATTCCAGATCAATTTATCTATTAGAGGAATCTAGCATAGGTTATCACTGTAAGATAAATAGTAATCTGTTTAAAACAGAATATTGAACTTCAAACTGTATTTTGCAGCAGTTCTGTGACTTTATATTCAGTGTGCCCTTTGCTTTTGAAAGTGATCTGCAATGCCTGTATTTGGCACAAGGTGGCGGCAAAAGGCTGAAGATTTTGACGAAAATTTGATTTTTTGGAGACATATATCTGTTTTTTAATGTATGTTCAAACCAATCCTAGTATAAGAGATTTGAACTATGAGGTATTTTTTAAATGCATGAGATACTAGTATTTTTACTTTAAAGTATTTTCATATTTACTTTTAAGAACATATGAGGGCACTTTAAGAAGTTCCTGGAAAATAAAATTCATACAAGCTTTTCTTTGATGCAAAGGAGCTTGGATTCCGTAAACAGTTTTTCATTATACCAATTTTGTGAGCTTTGTAAAGATCTCTCTGTTGATGTTATTAATGACTAATTCTTTAGGAAACTGATGAAAATCTTATTGAGATTGCATTTTCTACAAAAGAATCTCAGGTGACTTCAACTTAGCAAGTGTACAGGGGTGGGGAACATTTTTTCTGCCAAGGACTATATGGATAATTTCAGCAACACTTGGACTATATAAAATTAGCAACATAAATACCGACTTATTGCAGATGCATTTTCAATCCTGCATCTGTTTGTCTTGGCAGGGCTTGAATGCATTCTTGAGTTGTATAAGGCCGCCAGACCAAACATTCCACATACTTGCTAGAAAAAATATCTTACTGTTGTTTAATCATAAGGCCCCATGTAAGTAGAATATTTAGTTCTTGCCCCCAGGAAACTTAAAATTTAGTTGGAGGAAAAAAGAAATGTATATACAATTTAATGAGAAAACAAGACGATTAAAATGAACAAGTATATAGTTGAATGTACAAACAAGACAGATATTGTTAACTGAACCAAGGGGCAATTAAGCAAAAAAAAAAAACCACAATATTTGAAAAATCTTTCATTGTAATTATTTATGTTGTTATAATTCCTTTTAGATACTTGAAAAAAGTGACACTTTAAGAGCTTTGTATGATCCCGTTTTTGACATAAGTAACACATCATCAATTACTTGCAGAGACTCATCTTTTTTCATGATCATGTATTTTTAGTTTTATTGATACATGGGAAACATTTTTTTTCTTAAGAGGGCAAGGATTTTAGGGTTCACACAAATATTAATTATAATGTTCTTAGATTTCTTGAATCTGAAAAACACATTTATTCAAAAAGCAGTTGTTGACTGGCTGCTCCAGGGAAGTGGCGGGGAGGAGATTGGGAAAATGCTGTTTAAAGGGCTAAAGTGGGCAGATATACACAGAGAAAGAAAATGTAGAGAGATCCTCCATCTGCTGGCTCGCTCCCCTGATGCCCATAACAGCCAGATTCAGAGCTGTACCCATCTGAAGCCTGGAGCCAGGAGCTACTTCAGGGTTTTCCATGTGGGCACAAGGTCCCAAGGACTTGGGCTATCCTCTGCTGCTTTCCCAGGCCATAAGCAGAGAGCTGTATTGGAAATGGAGCCACTGGGCCAAGAAACTGTGCCTCTATGGGATACTGCTGCCACAGGGTGGAGAATTAGCCTTTAAGCCATGGCGTTGGACCATCTTATTTTATTATTAAGGAAACTAACTTCTATTTTAAGTGTAAATGTTCAAAACCTTCTTGAAAGTTGAAAAGTTTTTAATTTTGGAGTTGGTGTTTAAACCCAACTGTTAAACTTCAAAATGCATTTTCTGTGTACAACAGCACGCCTATAATTTATACAAAATAATTAAATGCAATGAACAACTAGCAATTTGGCACTCTAGTTTGGTCTTTCTAGTGTCAGTAAATGTTGTCTATTTCATTGTAATTATTCTGACAAAATGAAAAGAAAGGATAAATTATTTAATTGGTGGTGGCAGTTCATCTGGGTTGCACTTTAATTTCAGAGAGCTAATCATGCAATTTTTTGTTGGCCTGAATTGTCTTCTCTGTGTTTTGTTTTTTAACTCTCAGGAACAACTAATTTCTTCCCTTGTGTCTTTTTGCACAGGTCATGTGGGTATGTAATTTGTGCCGAAAACAACAAGAAATCCTCACTAAATCAGGAGCGTGGTTTTATAACAGTGGGTCCAATACAGCACAGCAAGCTGAGCAAAAGGCTCTTCGAGGATCGCGAAGTGAGGAGGCGCCTCGGGAGAAGAAAGCAAAGCTGCATGAGCAGGCCCAGTTCCAAGGACCCCCAGGTGACTTATCTGTACCTGCAGTGGAGAAAAGTCGATCTCATGGGCTCACAAGACAGGATTCTATTAAAAATGGGTCAGGAGTGAAGCACCAAATTGCCAGTGACATAGCTGCAGACAGGTAAACATTTTGTTTAATCTTTAGGTAAACGTATTATTTTTCCTCTTCATTCCAAGCAGAAATAAAAATACATGCAATGCTTAGGAAAACTTAAGTTGCGTAAATGTAATCTAAGTGTCCATGTGTTTATGTAAGTGGTCAATGTGTTCTCCACGCCTTGGGTCATCATAGGGTTGGATCGCCATAAATTTGATGTGGGAATGTTAGGTTTTCGGAGTTCCTAAAATACATAGGTTAAATAAAACAGAGAACTTAGGGGATTGTTGTTCTAGGAAAAACAAACTGGTGTAAGAGAACGAGGAATGAAGTGGTGGTTGGTGACACGTCGGAGGCCGGATGGATGGATGGGATTAGCTGGACGTGGGATTTAAGAGAATGGGGGAGTGATGACGTCTCCAAATGTCCTATCCTGGGCTGCAGGGTGAGGTGATTTTCAAGAGCAAGTAAATGCATATCAGACAGCAGGCATACGGTGAAAGAGTTTGTGAGTTTGGCACATTTATTGTGTTGTATACAATTCTGTTGTAGCTATTTTGTTGTAGCTAGTTCTAGGTTCTCCACATTCCATGTGTTACATATTTAAAAAATAATATTTGGTTTCCCTGTGTTTTCTACTGCTGTCAGGAGAGAAGAAATATTTTTTATGGTATTGTTATTTTTCTAGGTGTCATTCTTTTGTTTGAGTGGAAAAAATTTTTTTAAACCTCTGATTTATGCCTTTTTTATTGCCTAACACTGGCTGGCAGATACAATTCTTTGTGAATATGCATGGTCAAGCATTGTGGAAAGTCAGGCAAAACAAATTTAAATTGCACTTATGGCATAGTGAGTTCTGAGGGATCAATAATAACATGATAAGGCAGAACTACATTAGATAAGGCACACAGCCATCACCCTTTGTCACTGCCTTAGGGGAATAAGATGATGGGTACATCAATTCTTTCTAAAACTAGTAAAAACAGAGCAGACCATTAACCGTATCTTTCAGGGGAGTGGTAGTGATTTCATGGCTACAATACTGTGGACATATTTCAGAGCAAAGTATTAGAATTCCAAGAATTTTAAGGTAAGAAGATCATCTTGGGTTACTAGATGAGCAATCCCAGGTACTACCTGTAGGGGGAGCCGAAGATGATTAGGTTAAAGGAAAGAAATAATGGGTTCATTAAGAATTGGATCTTTCTGGCAATTGTTCCAATTTTATGGAGACGTCTGAGACATACAATGGTTGCCTTTACCCTCGCATTAAGAGTTCAGAATGGAGGAGACCTATTAGGATGACGTGGTGGACTCACACCCTTTCCTGAGAAGGGAAGTCCACAACCCCCAGGAGCCTACGTGGTGGTATACATTCTTAGAGTCAGAAGGCGCTGCTACTGAGGGAATGGCAAACGATGAGGCAATGTGCAAGGGACCCTGGTGGTACCCACTACGGGAAAGTCAAGGTGTGTGAAAAAAAGCAGAAGTATAGTGACCAGAGCAGATATAATTTTTAATAAGTGAATGAATTCCTACAATGATTGATGGGAACATAGAATTTGTTCCTTGAAACTATGTAGCTTCATGAAATGATAGCTTTCTTTGGAGATTAGAGAAGCAGGTTTAGAAAGAATAAAAGAAGATGTTGAAACATTAAGTCACAGATGTTGTTTATCAGAAAGTTGTGCATGTTAAAAAGTCAATACTGAAAGTTTGTGAATAATCAATTCATTGTTAAGAAGCTAGAAGTATATGTCCAACCTTTGAAGGAAGGGATAATGACAAGCACATAACTTTTAATATAGCTGTTAGTGCGTCTTACTGACAAAATATTAGCCTGAGTGAACAGCGGGGTCTGACCTAACAGTGGGGTCTGAGCATGTAGTAGTCCCTTGTTAAAATCTTTTTCTTTGCTTGGTGTTTTTGGCTATTGTTACTTATGAATACATGGTCTATGAACTTAAAGTATCCTATAATCATATTCTTCCTTTTTGAGCCTCACAAAAGTCAAACCAATAGCTCCTTTGTTTTTTAAAAATTACTTTTAGTCAGCAGGAAATTAGAGTTTAAAATCTGACTTGGTAGATATGCATAGAAAATTGAATTGCTTCTAATATTATATATATAATTGGCAAGTATTTTCAAGAAAATTAAATTGCCTTTGCAGGAGCAAGGAAAAAACTTGCTTTATTATTTTTAAATGTAGGTTCCAGTAATTTAAAAAATAGACCTTTTCACCCCATAGAAAGTGATTGGCCGACCATGGTCCTGGACTGATTTTGGCTTACATAGAAATGAAATTTTATTGGAACCCAGTCAGCCTTATTTCTTACCTATGACCGTTTGCAGCTGTAGTTGTGTAGTTAAGTTAGCAGAGAGACCACGTGGGCCTTCAAGACCCAGATATCTGTACTATGAAACATTTGCCAATCCTTGACATGGGCAAGGTCAGCTCTCCCGGTGCTGTTGAAAATGTTCACGTCTTTGCTGTCTTCTTTTGTCACCATTCAAATAATTTCAGTTGGGCACATTTCTGCCTCATCCCCACTTTCTCACCCTCTCTTGGCCTTTGTCCTTCTCTTTGTTTTCTCTCTGTCTCTCCCTTTTTTCCTGCCACTCTGCACCTTGCCAACCCCACTGCTCTTCTTACCAGATGTGTCACTGAGATGGGGCTCATGACAAGGTGTATAATTCTAGTTTAAAGTGTGAGTAGCTCATTTCTTCATGGCCACTCAGAAACTGGTGGCCTCAAAACAGAAGCTTCAGTTTAAGTCTCTTGTACCTAGAACTGTGTTTGAGAAATAGAAAAATGTGTGACGTCCTTCCGTCTTTGCGGAAGTTTCTTCTAGAGTCACATGCTTCTCAGGGCTTTGCAGAGCGGCTCTGAGGCTTTGTTGAATGAAAGAATACCGAGTTGGCCTTCAACCTTAGCTTACCATAAATTATTATTAGCATATTTATTCATAAAATCACAAATGTTTGTTTGCTTAGATGTAATATATTGTCGGGACTTTACATGCTTTTGTTTGAAAATAAGGTTTGAGACGTGCTTTATCATCTGTTTTTGGTTGAGACCGTGCTTTGGATGACATAAATTGCAAGACTCGCCTCAGAAGCGCCCCCTGTGTCTACCAAGGGAAGTGCATCTGCAGTTACGAACCTTTTACAAGTACATCTGCTGACCCAGAAGGCATCGCTGGTGTAGTGTAACAACCTTTCAAGAAAGATAGGATGCAGTAGCTGCACAAACTCACAGTATTAAACAGGAGAGAGTGTTTTTGAACTTTTCCCCCTTGTCAGCATTATTCTGATACCAAAACCAAAGTTATTGTAAGTAATTGAAAAAATAAAACAAAACAAATAAAAAATGGGTAAATAATTAGCAGCTAAACATTTCTCATAAGAATAGATACAGATATTCTAAAATAGTTTAGGAAGTAGAATTCATCAGTGTGTGAAAGGGGTACATCATGGCTAAGTTCTCATCAACAAGGTTGTTGTATGAATGTAGAGTGAACTTGACATTTAGAAATCATGGCAGTTTACTACATCTGAAAAAAAAAGCTCCAAATCATAATATCACTGTAATAACCACAATATGATAGTTATAGAAACAAGCGTTTGATGAAATTTTACTTCTCTTTAAAAATATTTATTTACTTTTTTAAAGGCAGAGGTGTGAGTGGAGTGAGAGAGAAGGAGAGATAATGTGAATATTCTATACGTTTATACTCCCCACATGCCTGTAACAGTCAGGGCTGTAAAGGCAGAACCCAGGAGCCCAGAACTCAGAGTCTCCTACATAGGATTCATTTTCTTACTAATGAGATGCATGTATGCACATGTATTAAGTTTAAATAATATTTGTATCATATGTAAATAACATAACCTATACTTTACAGATAAACAGTATTATACATTACACATTATATATCATTTATAAGTACTATGATATATGCATATATAGATGAATATATCATTTGTATAACATAATCATATATCATATATTTTTATATATATGTTAGATTTTTTGTTAATTACTTTCTTTGATATATTTCTGGTCAAATCCTGTTTTGGGATCATTTTTAAAAAAGTTGTTTTCATGAAGATTCAAAACCCCTCAGTTAGTTCTTCTAATACTCTTAAAATGTTTTTATTCATACGTTATAAAACTTTGATCTAGCTTAAGTTTATTACAGTATACATTTGGTAACAAATGGACCTTAACTTTCTTTACAGAATTCCTACTTGTCTCCCACACTGAGTATTTTCAATCAATAAATATTAATCATGTTTATCACAAATTGAAATATTAGTGTGTTTAGAGATGCCCTATTTTGTTGCTTTGTCTAGTCTCTTCAAAGAAAAAATAAAAAATGCATAAAAAAGTTACATTTTACTGAAGCATTTTAGATTACTGATTTTGAAGACAAGAAAGTCAAAACATTAGTTTTAGTATTGCATTTAAATTAATAGATATAAAGCTAGTATTATGAAGCAGTGAGTCAATTATGAGGAAAACCGAAGGTTCCTGGGTGCATGGAAAGGCAGTTTTCGGTTTATATAGTTTGCTAAAGCAGAAAATGAGAAGACTTTCCCTTTTATATGTTGTTGGAAATGGCATTGTAAGCCAGTGACGGGTTGTTTCAGCTTTTGAGTGATTCGGAATAAGCTTTTTCAAAAGGACTCTTGATAGTTCTCCCTCCGTTCCTGTATCACCCACTCTCCATCTCCCATTCCTCCCACCAGGCTGCAGCCACTGCCAAGAGAAAACTCAGCTTGAAGAAGCCATAGAGAACAATGCCCCTTTCCTTTACATATAACCAAAGGGAGGCATGTAAGGAGTTATTCAGATATCCCACCCTGGACCCACCGCCATTTCCTCTTCCTCACAGCTCATGAAATTCACACCAGCCCAGCCATCCACCAATCAGGCATTCCACCTGACACTCCCACCCCCAATCTCCCAGCCCCTTCCCCAACTCCACCCACTCATCAATCATCCTTAGGCATTCACCTGT